GCTGCCAGCGGGACCAGACTACATCGAGGAGACGATGAGGACGCGCATGCTGGCTAAGTCATGTGTCCTGCCAGGACTCATTGAGCTCGCATCGAGCATCACAAGCGCAAGCCAGAGTTACTCATGCCAGGCGTCATCATGGACTACTGGAGAGAGCCCATGAGAAAAGAGGATGACGGACGGAGAGGACCAGCAGACCTCATTTCGGTCGAGCGACTGTCAGGATCAGCTACCGTACGAAGTCAAAGTCAGGCTCTACTTTTTCCATGTCGCATGCGAGGACACGTTCTGTCGACGTAATTTCGCAATTCCATTGGCGACTACAACAGCAAGGCTTCTGGTATTTTTCGTTGTCAAGGAGACGCGCAGGCTCGATCGAGTCAGACTTTGATCGGGCGAACGAGTCCAGAGCAGACAAGAAGCAAGTGGACTTGAACAACATGCTCATGGACATTGTTGTCGGCGAACCTCCAGGCAAGCTCAGATGGATTGGGAAGATCTACAAGGGTGACGGCTACCTCTCCATATCATATCAGGTAGCAGTGGATAGGTCTCAGGTTCTCATGCTGCTTGAAGCTCTAGCGCAAGACGTGCTCCCCCAAATCCATGTTTTTTTTCGGCGCGAGTTGCAGGGGGAGGCCTCGCATATCTCAGGCACGGCGGGGAATAATTCTCAGATGGAACAGACGAGATCGTAAGGAGTATTACATCAACCTGTACAGTTCCGCTGTCGCCATGACTTCCAGGGCAGACGAGTTTGAGAACTGGCATGGGATTATGCTCTACAGGTGTGATCACCAAGAAGAGCAACAACACTTTGTGGCACCCGGAATGGATTAGAGTGGCATCTCCAGCATCACGCCTATGGACGACGTGCCATTGCCGATCATCGACAATTATGACACAGATGATCACCCTAGCAGGAGACCACCATATTCACCAGCTTATCAACCTGCACTACCGCAAGCTCATCAGCCACCAGCAGGCACACCATATATCATACCTATTCCAGCATCGGGCTCACAAAAACCACCAGCTCCACCTGCACCACCAGGGGTAGTGATACCTATGTATATGTACGAGCCGCCATTGGAGCCACATGGCTCTCCATGTCTGGATCAGCCGATACCAGTGCTGGTGGACCCTAATCCTACGTTGCCACAGCTACGACCAGCTCATCAAGATCACGAGGTGCACGCTGTTGCAGCACCTTCTCAAGATAGCCCGGGACCACCAGCGCCCTCTGGAGCAGGAGCAGTTCTCGTTGACTTAGCGGCACCGAAGCTTTGGAAACCATAAGTTCCCTCGGCAGGTTCATGCAGCCAACCTCTTCAACCAGTGCCATCTCCTGGATCAGCTATGAGTGCAGCAGTACCACGGCAGCTTGGTAAGCCAAGAAGTGCGGAGTTGTTGATGACACATATTTCTACGGCCAAGCTACCGCGACCAGCACCAGCAAAGCCTTTCAGTCCAGCTACGGCAATGTCTACTACAGCATCCTGTATTGCGGCGGACTCACTTTCCTACTTGGGCACCATCGGCGAATCCAGCGCGATCAAGGAATTAACCATGCAGCGTGCTATTCGCTCAACAAGCTTATCTTCAGCAGCTCCCCAGGCTAGGTCAGCAACGAGTTCTTCAATGACCAAAGGAGCTGCGCGCGCGCCAGCGAGCACCGCGCCACAGGCCGAACGCGGATGACCACCTGATGCTGTTCACGCGCCAGTTAGTCAGATTCAACAGGGAGGCGCTTCAATTTCCACTGATTCGCATACCATTTTTCAGTACTCAGAGAATGTGGACAGGACTGGCGGATTGGACGACAGCCGAGCTTCGAAAAGAGATCGCAACTCCAGCGGTGGCAATTCTGTCGTTGAGGAACCACTTTAAACAAGTGCGCTTCGATAGCGACAAGGGGATGTATTAGAAGGACATCGACGAGGACGTCCAACCGGAGCCCTCAGCATCATCATCTGGGCGATTTGGACCAGTAGATGGCGCAGCACCTGCTTTTCCCATCGCTCGTGAATCCGAAGGAGGAGCTAAGAAGGAAGTTCAAGAACCATGCGATCCATTGTGTTTCCCATCTCTTCACCAACAAGAACCGATATATGCTCTTTTGACCTGATGTGGATCAGCAGCTGCGCAACTTCTACCAAAAGTGGAAAACCAGCGAGAATGAAGTCTCTGTCAGCACTCTCTCAGAGCCCACCAACGAGATGGGCGATCTTGACATTTGAGTTTTATCATACCTAGAATCCCACCTGGACCATTACACCGGAGACGTCTACAAGGCAGGTGACGACAGCGCGACGTTGACCGACGACGTCTTGCGCAAGTACCCATAATTCATCGAACCACATCGCCGAGAACTGGAAGCTTTCTGTATTCACAAGGCTTTCATACCGAAGCTGAAGAAAATCAGCCTGGCGAAGGACCCAACCATATATGCAGTTGTGAATACCGCAATTGTGAATGCCATCTTTGCCCGCGCCCCCTATGTGTGGCCACAGCTTCCCGCTGGAATCCGACATGCTCAGGAACGCGCTCGTGGCCGTTTTCGCGGGCGCCGACGACGATACGGATGGCGCCCCTCTGACCGAGGAGCAAATGCAGAAGAGGGCTTTGAGTGCCATGGGGAGGGAGGTGGCGTTGCACGTCGACGCGGCGGACTACGACACCCAGGCGCGGTTGCTGAAGCAACGCATCTATGGGGCCACGGTCCTCGTGAGGGGCGTGCCGCAATGGCCCGGGGCCGCCATGCGAACCTTGCCACTGGCGCCTTCGCTGGAGCTCCCTATGGGGCCACGACCCTCGTGAGGGGTGTGCCGAAATGGCCTGGGGCCGCCGTGCGAACCCTGCAACTGGGGCCTTTGGTGGAGCTCCCTATGGGGCCACGATCCTCGTGAGGGGTGTGCCGAAATGGCCAAGGAGGCCGCCGTGCGAACCCTGCCACTGGCGCCGTCGGTGGAGCCCGTTCTGGGGCCACGATCCTCGTGAGCCGAAATGGCCCGAGGCCGAAGTGCATGCCATCCACTGGCGCCTTCGGCGGAGCTCCTTACGGGGCCACGATCCTCGTGAGGGGTGTGCCGAAATGCCCCGAGGCCGCCATGCGAACGCTGCCACTGGGGGTCTTCGGTGGGGCTCCCTATAGGACCACGATCCTCGTGAGAGGTGTGCCGAAATGGCCAGAGGCCGCCATGCGAACCCTGTCACTGAGGGAATTCGGTGGAGCTCCCTATGGGGCCACGATCCTCGTGAGGGGTGTGCCGAAATGGCCCGAGGCCGCCGTGCGAACCCTGCCGCTACGATCCTCGTGAAGGGTGTGCCGACATGGCCCGAGGCCGCCATGCGAACCCTGCCACTGGCGCCTTCGGTGGAGCTCCCTATGAGGCCACGATCCTCGTGAGGGGTGTGCCGACATGGCCCGAGGCCGCCATGCGAACGCTGCCACTGGGGCCTGCGGTGGAGCTCCTTACGGGGCCACGATCCTCGTGAGGGGTGTGCCGAAATGGCCCGAGGCCGCCATGCGAACGCTGCCACTGGGGCCTCGGTGGAGCTCCCTATGGGGCCACGATCCTCGTGAGGGGTGTGCCGAAATGGCCCGAGGCCGCCATGCGAACGCTGCCACTGGGGCCTTCGGTGGAGCTCCCTATGGGGCCACGATCCTCGTGAGGGGTGTGCCGACATGGCCCGAGGCCGCCATGCGAACGCTGCCACTGGGGCCTTCGGTGGAGCTCCCTATGGGGCCACGATCCTCGTGAGGGGTGTGCCGACATGGCCCGAGGCCGCCATGCGAACCCTGCCACTGGCGCCTTCGGTGGAGCTCCCTATGGGGCCACGATCCTCGTGAGGGGTGTGCCGAAATGGCCCGAGGCCGCCATGCGAACGCTGCCACTGGGGCCTTCGGTGGAGCTCCCTATGGGGCCACGATCCTCGTGAGGGGTGTGCCGAAATGGCCCGAGGCCGCCATGCGAACCTGCCACTGGGGCCTTCGGTGAAGCTCCCTATGGGGCCACTCCTCGTGAGGGGTGTGCCGAAATGGCCCGAGGCCGCCATGCGAACGCTGCCACTGGGGCCTTCGGTGGAGCTCCCATGGGGCCGGGATCCTTGTGAGGGGTGTGCCGAAATGGCCCGAGGCCGCCATGCGAACGCTGCCACTGGGGCCTTCGGTGGAGCTCTCTATGGGGCCATGATCCTCGTGAGGGGTGTGCCGAAATGGCCCGAGGCCGCCATGCGAACGCTGCCACTGGGGCCTTCGGTGGAGCTCCCTATGGGGCCACGAAACGTTGTACTGGGTGGGTGAAACGCAGGGAGGAGGGGGGAGGAGGGGGAGGAGGAGAGGAGAGGAGGATAGGAGGAGGAGGAACGCGGGGCGATGAGGAGGAGGGAGAGAGGGAGGAGGAGGAGGAGGAGGAGGAGGAGGAGGAGGGAGGAGGAGGAGAGAGGAGGAGGAGGAGGAGGAGGAACGCGGGGCGGCGTCTCTTCAAAACGAGGACCCAACACCACAGGATGGTTGGGAAAAACTTTAGGACCACCCCGGACTAGTGTCCTAAAGTTTGGCTGCCTGGGGCATCTCGTTCGCGTGTGCTTGTGCGTGCCCGTACTGCAGCCTTTTGATTCACATCAAGGAACAACATATCTTACGATATTTCAACGCTCGTGCTCAAGATAAGGGATTATCAGCAGTATCTGGCATTCCTTTTGGATGCGATTTCCATCGATATCCCGAGTGGGGGGAGGGGGAGAGGGAGGGGGAGGGGGAGGGAAGGAGGGAAGGATGAGGAGGACGAGGAGCAGGACCTTTTGATTCAATGACATGCGTTTTCTGCTGTTATGTTGACTTCAGCAATTGCTGCTGTTGCACGTTGTTGCCGTGTTTTTGAGTGTGCCTGGACACTACGGCACCAACGGTCACAGTCAAGACAACCTAAATGAGAAGGGGGCTCTTTCTAGCGTCCAGATGTTTCCTGTCTGGTCCCGCTCTCACCCCGGCGCAGGACTCCGACAAGTCGGGCACCATTTCCCGGGAGGAGTTCATTGTCGGATGTTCCCGCCTCCGAGGGGACGCCAAGGATTGAAGACGTATTTGTTTGTTCCGCCGCGGCGCGGGCTGGTGACGAGGATGAGGAGACGGACGACGACGACGACGAGGAGGTTCGAGGATCGTGGACGTGTTGCTCACCTATTTGCAGGTTCCAGAGGCATCCAGGGAACTCGGAGGACATGGGACCGTTGGCGATCTCTGGAGACCAGGGGAGGTGACGAGGCTTTCTCTCATCTTCGTCCTGCCACTTCTGCCAATGCTCTTGCTGCCGCCCACGACCCGTAGTATATCATATGTATCTTCCCTCGATCTTCGACCCTCCTGGATGCTTGATCTTCCTTCGATCTTCGATTCCCCATCGACCCTTCATCCTTTCCCGATCCTCCGTCGGATCGCCCTGACAGGAGAGGAAGGAGCGGGGTGAGGAGGGGGGGGGCGGGATGAGGAGGGGAGGGAGGATGGGAGCGGCGGCGCGTAGGACGAGAGGGAGGGGGAGGGGGACTCGGAGGGGAGGGAGAGGGAGAGGGAGGAGGGTGGGAGGAGGAGGGGGCGGGATGGGGGGGGGGGGGGGGGAGGGAGAGGAGCGTAGTGGAGGAGGGGGAGGAGGGAGAGAAGGAAGAAGAGGAGGAGGAGGAGGAGGAAGAGGGGAAGGAGAGGGGGAGGGCGGAGAAGGAGGGGAGGAGGGGAGGACGAGGAGGATGAGGAGGAGGACGAGGAGGGAATGGCGAGGAGGACGAGGGGGAGGAGTTGGAGGGGGCCCAGTGTAAACCCGATGCGCATCAGCGATGTTTCAATAAACCCTCCCTCCAAGTTCCCTCCCTGCAAGCCCATAGAAGAGATTTGCTTCACTGCGGGAAGTGGCCCATGAGAAGACAACCGTTTGAGAATCGGGGAGGAGGAGGACGACGACGAGAAGAAGGAGGGTGAGGACGATAGGGGAGGAACAAGGGGAGGAGGATGAGGAGGAGGCCGAAGACGAGGAGGACAAGGGGAAGGAGGAGGACAAGTGGAAACCCTAGACGCATCAACGATGTTATAATAAACTCTGTCTTCAAGTTCCCTATTGACAAGTACTTACAAGCATTCATCTTCATTGCGTACAGTACCCTATTCGAAGGCAACCGTCTGAGAATCCTCAGTCGTGCGAAAGCTCAATTCCTACGACCCCGACGCCGCGAATCAACGTAGCTGCTGCGTCCTGGCAGTCCTAAATCGAACGCCCGCCCTGGGAGTCCAACTCCGCGAATCGAAGTAGCTGCTGCGCCCTGACAATCCGAACTGGTGTCGGAACACCCTTCCTGGGACTTCAACCATACGAAAGCTGAGACGATTGAAAACTATTAAGACGAATGCGCGCGGCGCTAAGGCAAAAGCTACATTCAAGTATCCTGGCGAAGGGCCCAACCACGTGCAAGTGTGAGTACCGCAAGGCAGGTATAACGAAGGTGGGGTGACAAATCGTGTGAGGGGTGTGCCGAAATGGGCGGGATGACGCCATGCGGGCGCTGCCACTGAGGCCTCGGGCTTCAGTTCGAGCTCCGTATGGGGCCACGAAATGTATGAGTGGTGTGCCGAAGCGAGGCGGCGAGGCCATGCGAACCTTGGCAGTTGGGCCTCAGCTGGCGCTCCGTATGGGGCCACGAGGCGTGTGAGGGGTGTGTGCCGAAACGAGGCGGCGGGGCCATGCGAACCTTGGCGTTTGGGCCTTCGTTAGGGCTCCCCATTGGGCCACCAAACGTGTGAGGGGTGTGCCGAAACGAGGCAGCAGGGCCATGCGGACCCTGGCGTGTGGCCCTTAGCTGGAGATCCCTATGGGGCCACGAAGCGTGTGACGGCCGTGCCGAAACGAGGCGGCGGGGCCATGCGAATTTTGGAATTAGTGTCTTAGTTGGAGCTGCTCATGGGGCCACGGAACGTGCGAAGAGTGTGCCGAAATTCGCACCGGACAGCAACGGCAGTAGGGTGGGGAGGAGGAGGAGGAGAAGAGGAGGAGGGCCCAGCACCGCAGGATCATTCGGGGAAAGATGGAACTGTACTCCATCTTTGAAACTGTACAAACTTTGAGGACGAATGTGCGCGGCGCTGAGGCTAGAGTCACAGTTCGAAAAGGAGCCGCCCTCCGTCCTTGAAGCTGGTCCACATGAAAGACGGTTGCGCGGGGCTAAAGCGAAAACTACAATTTGGGAGCGACGTGCCCTCTATTATTCAGAATGTTGCAACATTTGGTAATGAATGTGCACGGCGCCACGGCCATAACCACTTGTTGAAAACCACCCGTCCTCCATCAGTGAAGCTGCTGCAGGTTTCAAGCCTGAGGCCCATAAATGGTGAGGAAACCTCATGCGAAACGCCCAGTTAGCCCTACCGGCACGTGCGGGGGTTCGACGGGGATGATCGGTTTATGAAGAAAAAGGATGGAGGAGGAGAGGATGAGGATGAGGATGAGGATGAGG